CTGCAGTCAGACACGGACACCTACCGCCAACCCCCAGCGCAGCTTTGCTTCTTGAATCTAAGGGGTAAAAACAGCCATGATGAAATCCGAGGGCATTACTTTTAATCATTAAGCAGAAAGCACTTTAAGGAAAAGGCAGGTTAAGCCTACTAAGTTACCAGTATTTTATCCGCTTGGTATTAGACATGACTGCAAACACAACTCTTGCTTTATACTAGTGCAATGATTAACTTCTGCAAGGTCAATGCAATAGGCATGTAAAATGCTAGAAGGGCATAGCAGCATTTTAAGCCTATTTTGCGACACTAGAGAGAACTAAATTCTTGAATGCAAAACAAAGAAAAGTAAGTCTTCTGTAAATAAAGAGGTTTTAGTACGTCTGTAAGAGCCTACCAGCTTACAAGCTGAGTCATCAACAGTGTTTTCTGGAGACAGTCTGGGGTTTACTACTACTTTTTTTTTTTTTTTAATACATGCTTGAGATAAGGGTGAAATAAATAATTGTGAGGTGGAAAGTAGCAGCTGGATGAAAAAAAGCATCTTTTATCTATTTCCATTTCAGACTGCTCAGTAAAGACATCTCCAGACCCTTTCTGTTTCAAGAAGTTGATGGTTGAGTCCCCATCCCTGGAGGTATTTAAAAGACGTGTAGACGTGGTGCTTAGGGACACAGTTTAGTGGAGGACTTGGCAGCGCTAGGTTTACGGTTGGACTCGATGATCTAAAAGGTCTTTTCCAACCCAAGCGATTCCATGATTCCACGAAGCGCGGGATGAAGGCGCCACCCTCCGGGCTCGCTGTGACCCGCCACCGCCTCAGCCCCGCCACCCGCCACGGAGGGACTGCGGAAAGGCTGCAAGAGCTCAGTTTGGCTGGCCTTCAATTACTTTTCTAGTACAGAATGAGACACACATGCTTTGCAACTCCTATTAGCCTTCAAACGTCTTTTACAGGTCAGCAAAAAATCACAAATGTGCACTTGCATTTCACAGCAGCATACCGCCCTTTGAGACTTGGTTGCATCTGTTTCTGAAAAGAAGTTCAGCCGCTTGAAATCTGTTTGTGGTCTGCAAACCAAAGTCTCCAAGTGCAGCAGCTTTGCCACCTGTGAGTATTTCTTATGGGATCACCCTGGTGCACTTTGTTCTTCTGATTCATAATACACAATCATTTCCAAGAGGATTTGGGTTAGGTACTGCACTTCTTTTCCCCTCTTGAAAATAATTCCAAGTTCTTGTTTTACCATATTGCAGCCTACACACAAATTAACTGCGTATACATACACAACATCTTCATAAGCAACGCAGTTAAGCAGAGACTGACAAAAGCTAGGCTCAGGGGGACTGTCAGGATACAAACCTGCTGCAACTCTTCTGCTTGGCCCAGCTCAAAGACCGATTCAGCTAGCACTGAAGTCAGAAAACTCATTGTTCCTGTCATGCGGATCAACCCTGCAAGTAATTTCATGTTCATTGATGAGAGATACCCTGCACAGTTCAGGCTGGAGACAACTTTACACACACAGCTACTATTTTTACCGTTAGGGTCAGGAACCTCTAGGTAGAACAAACTGTATTAGTAGTTTAGTTTTTGAGTAACAGGTCTTAGACTCGTCCGTCCAGACAGGGCATGTGAGATTGGCTGTAATTATTTACCTTCCTGTTTCTCAGTTCATGTAGGTAGAGGCACACCTGCCTACCTCCGCAGCAACTTCTGTAATGCAAAGCGCTAGTTCGGAATAGTGCAGCAGTTCCAAGTTTACCTTCCAGCACAGATTAGTAAGAGGTTGCTGTACTTTTACTGCCCAGACAGCCGAGAGCTTTGCTAGCAGACTTGCTAAATTATAGGCACGAACTTCAGTTCCTATTGTCACGAGAACCACTAGGACTTTTTCCAGATTTCACAGAGGTTTGGTGTTAAGACACTTTAACTAAGCTCTTCCTTCAAACAAACCACACAACCAACCTTTGTCCTTTATAATTGCCCACCAGAACAAGCATGAAGTCATTTTCATTGCACCAGTGTTCCTACTATTTGCCTTCAACATTTAGTAAATCTTCATCTTCCTATTCCACAAACATTCCTGTTTGTATACAGCTTTGGACTTTCTACGTTCAGACTTTAAGACAGGATACAGGGCATCAGGACAAGTTCACCAGCTGACTGTAAGCAGATGAGCAGAGCTGCTTCTTAACCTGGTGCAGAGCAGAAACGGAGCCTTACCAGCACATGTTGGGTCCCACACTGCCGGCTTTAAAGCCTCAGCAAGAGCTGGTCCTGCTTGAGAGGCTCTCCACGGCTTACCTCCTCAGCGCCTTAACTCAGGCTTCCTCCATAGCTTAAGCATTCCCTTCCAGAGCACCAGTCTATAAGTACGTTTACCTCTCAGTTCTTTAAGAGCACACAGTACCAAGAAGATGCCCGACATATGCGCTACGGCACTCGCCAACAAAGCCCTGCCCCAGCATTCACTCCCTGAGGGACGCAGCACTAGGGTTTTTTGATCTCTGTTATATGGTATTTCACCATATCATATGGTCTTGAATAATGAAAGAAAAAAGGACTCCACGGTTTCCTTCATCTTCAGGCAGACTCCATGGTAGACACAACACGCCTTCTCCGTACTTTGAAGGTACTTCGAAGGTACTTCTGGAAAGTAAGAAGCCAAGGACTCTCTTCATATCTTAAGTGCCTGTTCCTCCTCTAAAAAAATGCCACTGATTCACCCCCACTCAATCCACCTTATCTGCAGGGTTTCAGTAAGCTGAAGTTTGACAACTAAAACCTAAGTATTGGCCTTGACTAATCCAGATACCAACCCAACTTACTTAAATTGCTTTCTATCCATAGCTAGCTACACATGATTTACAAGTTATGATAAATACTGTTCCTTCCTCCAATAATTATCAACAACATTAATCAACTCTGTAACTAATATTAAGCCCTTAAAAAGCTTTTCCGTCAATAGTCTTGCAACAGGAATACTGGGGGCTATGTAATATATTTTGCATTAATTTAAGCATTCTGAAGTGCTTAGAAGGAAACACATGAGGACAGAGGCTGGGAACATTAAGTTGGGAAGATGGGTTTCAAAATAAACTGATCACCCCAGTAAATAACTACAGCAAAAATTTAGTTTTGAGTTGCCATCTAGAAAGTATAATTCTTCCTGCCAGAAGCTTCTGTCAGGGAAAAATCTATGTGATGCCAGCATTTACTTATCAAGACCCAGGATTCCTCTCTAAGAAGAAAAGCTGAGCAGTTTGAGACCAGCAAGAATGCAGACCCTTCAGTAGGCTTTTTTTTTAAATTCAAGTCAAAAGCTGCCAGACTGATTATCAATAGACTTACTTTTCTTCATCACTGCTGTCACACCCTCAGAGGCAAACCAAGGGTGTGAGGGATGATGATATAAATTTTAAACAAGATTATGAAGCAATCCAGAAGCTCAAGCTGCATATCTGAGACGAGATCTAGGCCTACAGAAAAAATGTCCCACAGCAGGGGAAAAAAAAAAAAACAAACCACTTCAAATGCAAAATACGCTATATTTGCATAACTCACTCTTATTCACAACACAGATCTCTTACCAGTCGCAGCTTTGGCTACCACAGACTGTTCCTACGGTGGTGGCAGTTTCTCTTCCTGCACCTGCTAATGAAAGGCACTTCTTTATGAACACTTCTCTCCTTAATCTTACTTGATACTTCAAAATAGCAGCCTAGCAGTATGGTAATGTAAGCCTTGTCCTGGTTTCAGCTGGGATAGAGTTAGTTTTCTTCCTAGTAGCAGGCATAGTGCTGTGATTTGGATTTAGTAGAAGAATGCTGATAACACACTGATGTTTTAGTTGTTGCTGAGTACTGCTTATGCTAGTCAAGGACTTTTCAGCTTCCCATGCTCTGCCGGGTGCACAGGAAGCTGGGAGGGGGCACAGCCAGAAGAGTTGATCCAAACTGACCAAAGGGCTATTCCATACCATATGACATCATGCTCAGTATAGAAACTGGGGGGGGTTGGCCGGGGAGCAGCAATCGCTGCTCGGGAACTGTCTGGGTATCGGTCGGTGGGTGGTGAGCAATTGCATTGTGCATCACTTGCTTTGTATATTGTTATTATCATTATTATATTGTTATTATTATCATTACTATTTTACTTTATTTCAATTATTAAACTGTTCTTATCTCAACCCAGGAGTGTTTCTCACTCTTACTCCTCCGATTCTCTCCCCCAACCTGTCGGGGTAGGGGGAGTGAGCGAGCAGCTGCGTGGTGCTTAGTTGCTGGCTGGGGCTAAACCACGACAGCCTATTCCTTGTTTCCCTGAGAATCCATCCTGAACTTAAAGGAGCATACTAAGAAAGCTCGAAGAAAACTTAGGCACAAGGTACTATGTACATCCAGTAGCATCCACTCTGAAATACTTCCAAGACTTAGCAAAAAAAGCAAAACACACCAACAATTTCCTGTATTTTTCGAGACCTTTTGGGCATGCTCCTTTACACCAGATGGTACTTCATTCCTGCCTCAGGCATTAATTTCAACTTGTTATAACTGCTTCAGGAATACAGCTATACAGAAACAATTTATACTTGATATATGCACATAATCAGTCTCCTAAGTTAAAGGATGTTTTAGGATACACTTGAATAGCTAGTATGGAATGAGTATCACATGCTGTCATTCAGTTCCTGTAAGAACAATTTAGCCTGACCCAGTACTGTCATCTCTTGCCCAAGGTAACACTTCAAAAGCTAGTGCATCAGTGCAATAGATGAAGATCTCACTTAAGGGATCCAGGAAAAGGTACGGATGACTGAACACAGTCAGTCAGGCAGGCACAGCCAGGCCTATTCCCCCTTTCACCTATCTTTCTGATCTGTAAGAAAGCTCCATACCCTGTAATACAACAAATTACAAGAGGCATTTCTTTCTCCAACCATTTTCAAATCAAGGAAGTAACTGGACCAGCTGTTACTAAAAACGAGTCTCTTACAGACAGTTACAGAAGATTCTTTTGAGTTTTATTTGTTTACAGCAACATGAAGTACATGTTTCCACTTAGGTATTTTAGTGCAACAAGGAAATCCATTACCTCAATAAGCTTCAGCAAGGTGATCTATGTTTCTATATGCAATGGAAAAGATTATTGTCTCCCTTTATTGCACAACAGTTTAAAGCTTCAAAAGTCTAAGTAAATAGCTCTCACAGAATTAAACAGGCAGACACTTTGCTTGATCATGAAATGCTTTTGTTGGATGAGCTAAGTGCTTTCTGCAGTAGAGCAATTCATTTGTAAGCCACAGGCACTACTACAAGAGTGGTATCAGAGTAGAAGTGGTGACATTTTAGTAGTCTGTGCAAGAATGCCACTCTACTTCTTGCAAGTTGCATATCTTGAAGACACATTCTCCCAGTTGATCACATTCCAGATGGCTTTCAAATAATCAGGTCGAACATTTTTATACTGCAGATAATAAGCATGTTCCCATACATCGATTCCTAGCAAAGGAATGAGACCTGTTAAAAAAAAAAAAAAAAAAAAAAAAGGAAAATAAATTTTGTGGTAAATCTGTGAAAACACACTTTACATGTAAGTCTGATATTGCATGCTGCAGTTGTACCCAATTTCTGAGCCTTTATCTGCAGGAAGACAAAGAGCTCCCCAGCACACAGGTGCTTATTGCAACATTTTACAGAATTGTTTGCTCTCCACACACACACATATTGCATAAACCAAAAGAGCTGATTAAGATAAACACGTATGAATACTCTAGCACTGCCTTGAAGACATAACTGAAACAAGATTAAGTCATTTTTGAAAGGTTTACATCTTTTGCATAGTTACGCAAGCATTTTCATTAAAAGTTACACCATGAAGGAGTCTCTTGCCATGCCAGTTTGCTTCCAATATTTTAATCACAAGTTATTAATTGTCTAATTACTTTCCTTGCTTTTGTGCTAAAATATCAGTCTCACTGAATTTTTAATGGCGAGTTTTCATGGGGAGAGTGGTGAAATTTACCCACATTATGCCGTATGTCCCTATAATAAAATTATTCTTTTTTTTTTTCCCTACCGATAAGCAAGACACGGACTGCTGACAATACATGAAATTCCTTGCCATTCTCTATGAATTCTACAGAACGTGTTTTAAAGATATCTGCAATAGGATTTGGACAAACAGCCACTGTGGGCAGGATTCTCACTGGCCGTGAGCTCTTCCCTCCATCAAGGGCGTCCAGCCTGCCATCATCACTGCCATGTCACTCTAAGCAAGTAAAAATATCTTTAATGATCATGGCCAGAATTAGGCTGCTTGCCTAGCTTAAGACTTATCCCCATCCAAGGCTTGTTTAATTGACATCCATTACTCTCTACCAATATGAAGGAAGCACATTATAAGCCTTCCACTTTAAACCCAGCCTACATAGTAACAAGAGTTACTCTGTACACCTTCCTCTCTCCTGTTGTCTGGCCTACACCGACAGTTCTGTGAATAGCCCCTCTGCCACAGAAAACAATCTGAAGGTAGGAGGCATAATCTTCCTCGATACAGGCAAGCTACTCCAGTTACTCAAAAATAATCCAAAGGAACCTAAGCTAAAACTATCGCCTAAGACAGAGCACTTTCATAATATGCCCCATCTATTTCCTCTCTGACTAGACAGACTTTAAACCCTACTGTTCTTCACAGTTTTTAAGTCCTGCTTTACAAATGCTGTTTTAAAAATTGCAACTGTTTTTCACTTCTGCTGGTAGTGATACTTGGTTTTCCAGCCCTATTTATCCAGCAATTTCTTCTCAGCATTTGCCCACAAACCGCTTTTCAGATCTCATATACTTGCCTATGAAATCTATAAAGAGAGAAGCAGAGGGGAAGGAAAGAAACCTGACCTGTTGTTCCTTGCAAAGGGTCTTGATTTGCACAAGCTGCTATTTGTAGGCGCCCCTGCTCTTTGTTATAGCCAAGCCACCCCCAGCCTGATCCTTGAACACCAACTGATACGGTTGTCAGCTTCTCCTTGAAGTTTGCGAAGGAACCAAAGTCACGCTTGATGGCTTCCATCAATTCTCCTTTAAAAAAAGCACAGAAAGATCACAGAACGTCAGGTACTTAACATCTTCCAATTTCCAGATATCACCTGGAAAGAAAAGGAAAGAGGAGCAGAAGCATTTGGGCTCTGTGGGAAGGAAGTGTCTAGACAGAGTAGTTGCATCATTAATTAACAGTTCTAACCCAACATGCTTAAGAGGGCAAGCAGACTGGAGAGAAATTAGTGCAGTAGTCAAACATGCTGTCCTCAAAAACACAGTCAGGGTGCTATCAACAGGACACTCAGGCATTTACATTCTTGTCTAAAAGGAAAGGGAACGCCACAGAGGAGGACTAGGAAAGAAGGTAAAGAGCTAGTTTGCATATCTAGAAGGGCAACACTAAGTGGCTGCGACTTCTTTGTCTTAATACAAAGAAATATTCGGACATCTTTGATATCAATATAATAAACCTACAAATAGTAAGAGGTATTTAACCACTTCCCTCAGATTTTAGATTTACATCTGCTTCTACAGTTAAGTAGTCTATTTGATATGGATAAGTAGTCTCCATGATTCTTTATTATACAGTTAAGCTAACCTGTGCTGGGGCAAAAGGAACAGAAACTATAATTGTTTAGTGTAACAATGCACTCTCAAACTACTTCCTTTCCCCTACACCCTAGCACACTTGTGGTTTTCAGATATTTAAGTGTTTTCTCAAAACCTGAAGGTATCTACGCTCCTCTCTAATTAGCTCTAATCAACAGGTGTAAGAATACTTTATACAGTGCAATGCTGGAGAATTCTTCATTCTTCACTCCTTCCACCGTCAGACAGATGGTCTTGAAAATCTCTTGGTGATAGCTGCAAGTGCATCTTAAGACGGGCTTTAGCACGCTTCCTATGAAAGCCCTCAAGTTGAAACTGAAAGATGACATTTTAGGCTTACTGACTTTCACAGAAATTGGGAGACAAAAATCAAGGCTTTAAAGCATCTTTTCTGAGAATGTCTTCTAAAAAAAAGCTCTACCAGAAATGGACTGGTATCAGAACTGCTTGCTGAAATTTCAGCTTCAAAACTTTATGCTCTAGTCTTAACTAGATAATCTTCAGAGCACCTCTGTACTTCCATGGTAGAGTCAGAA